CACGTAATTTGAATCGACCCTTGTTGTGTAATAGCCTAATAAAATTTTCCAAAGACTTTTGTAACACACTGTATATCAGAGCAAAATATCTTATGTTATTGTTGGGTGAAAAACCACTACTAAAATTTCATGCGATCAATTTTTATTATCAGGATCACATGACTCATCACTAATCATAATTGATTTTTGTCTCAGATCGTTATATAATTTTAAATAATAACAAAAATTGTTTTTTTTTAAAATTCTAATTATAAATATACACTAATATAAACATAAAATATTATAAATATACCTTATGTAAAGGCTTTAAAGATTAAAAAACTTAATATTTCAAATGATATTATTCATTTGAGACCTTATCATTGGTTATTTCAATTTCGTCTTTTTTGTCATTATGAATAGCTGTCTCAATTTCTTCGTCGGAAATTCTATAATTCACACGTAATTCTTTACACATGTGTTCAGCAATCTTATTTTGTATGGATGTAAACCTTTTACAATTCCATTCTACTAGTTCTCCAATATGGGCATTATGGATTTTATCAGAAAGTTGTTTATAAAAATTTACTATTTCTGTTACCATATGATGAATATTAATTTCATCTGGTCTCGGCCAAAAGTTCCGAAAAGTTTCAAAATCTTTATTGTTATTTTTGAAATATTTTTCCCATCTAGCTCCTCTGTTTCCTTCAATTCCACGCAAGTTCTCTGTCTCCCAGTGTTCTGAAAATTAATTACAAATCCAAAAATCAATAAAATATTTATAATGAAAGTAAATAAAATTTTTACTAACCCAAAACACCTCGAATGTGAACAATCCCTTTCAATTTAAGGTAACTCATATTTACATTACCCTAAAAAAAATAATATAAATGTTACAAATGAAAACTCTCTTTATTGCTAAAAAAAAAAAGAGTTAAAACACAACTCACAAACTTCATTGAAATTTCTTTTAAAATCTCATTTTTTTGTGCTATTACTTTCTCTCTTTTTTCAATTTCATATTTTACTGAAATTTCAGTTTTTTCTTTTTCAGATTTTAACAATTCTTTTTCGGATTTTAACAATTCTTTTTCGGATTTTAACAATTTTTCATTATTATCTTTTAACAATTCTAACAATTTTTCGTTCTTTTCTTTTTCAAATTTGCGAATTGATTTGAATATTGAAAGCTTTTCTTTATTCACATATGTTTCCAAGACCTTGTCTATCTCTTGGTCTGTATGTTCAGTAATGGAAGCGGAATTCAACTTGTTAGAAACTTTGTCATTAAAATTAGTGGCAGAAGAGAAATAAGACAAACGAGAGGGCAAAGTTTTATTTAGTACAAGATAATAACGAAGACGATGATACATTGTAAGATTTGGAACTAGAAAATTCAAAATTCTACTAATATACGGAAAAATTCGTCCGAGAATTCGCGAATTTCAGGGAGTATTTAATTGTTTTTTAAGATTTCAGGTGAAATATACTAATGATATGGAAGATATTCACGCGATTACAAAAAACTATGAACTAAAAAAAATTAACAATAATAATTAAGTATAACCCTTCGACAATTATATACAACAATAGAAATTAACAATAAATATTGCGATTCTCTATTTTGTTGGCTAAAGATAACGTGAATAATGATCTTACAGTATATTAAAAATCACATGGCGATTATCTTAAAATGTTAGAGAAAAGTCTAATTAACTTTACATTGAGGCTAACACAGGATCTATATAGCTTCCTGCAAAATTATCCTCATCTAATTGATAATACCTGCTGATCTATAGAAAGTAAATTTCTTTGTCGCTCTAACATGATACCAACTTTGTTTACAGGTAGATTAAATACAAATTCTTTGACCAAAGATTGCAATTTATAAAAATTAATGTAAATCTTTTAATAACTTTTTTTAATTTCGGCCAATCATTTTGCCACTTTGCATAGATAATGATCAACACCTGATTTCGATATTTAACCAATAATTTAGCCGGCCAGAATTACCAAAATTACGGAAATAATCATAACATACAATAATTATATGCAAAATCGTCGATGATATTACATATAAAACTTTTTATATTATAAGTGAATATTAAAAACAGTACAAAGTAATTTCAAAGAAAAAATTTAATTGCATATTATATTAAAAGGATCGATCTGTATAATTATAATTGAGCGAATTATTATCATTTTAAAATTATTTATCCGTTCGAGCTTTAACTGCCAATTGTTCTCTCAATTTTGATTATATATGTCTCTTCTTTTTATATAATATGTAATTAATTCTTGTCTTTAAGATTACTTAATAGCATTTTTAATATTTACTTACAAACTAAAAAGTTTTATATGTGATAACTATCGATGATTATCGATGATTATTTCTGATCTTATATTAATGATATAATTGCACCATAATTGTGGCATTGTGGCATAATTGCGACATTGCGAATTTGAACTCTTGTCACAATTCATTAATTCCGTCAGGTATCACTAATCAAGATCAAACAAGTATCAAACACAACAATTAAATTCAATTATCTCCACCCGTTAGCTGATGATTTCCATAAACCTCTTTGGAAGTTACGGCCAACAATAATTCAATTGTTATTAAGTTCACCCGAAAATATAATATGGCGGCACACAATATATGTGCTTCGATAGGATGTGCTCCAAATTTGTTATACTGTGGTGATGCTAAACGAGGTTTCAAGATGATTGTTATGGATTATATCAATGATGTCCCATTTAAAAAAGAAAAAATTAGCACCATGGAAAGTCAAGCTTGTAAGCAAGTCTTTAATCATGTAAAATAAACAATAAAGGCCTTGCATGATCAAAATATTGTGTTTGCTGATCTTCGCCATCCAAATATCCTGGTGGTTGAATCGCAGAACCAGTGTAAAGGAATGCTTGTGGATTTTGATTGGTGTGGAAAACATAATCAAGATACATATCCTCTTGCAATGAATACTGAAATACCTTGGCCTGATGGTGCAAGATCTGGTGCTCTCCTTATGAAAGCACACGACAAATACTGGCTTGAGGAGGATCTGAATTTGGGTTAGATGATATTGTTGACTCTATATCAATCACTGGACAAATCATAATTTTTATGCTTGATATACAATGATGAAAAATGTATATTATGTACCTTTAATATCCAAGACTCGATTGGATATCAACCGGTATCCTTGCCTAAATGAGTGTGACAGCCTAATTATGGATATTGTCTATACATTTTCGGGTGCCACATGTAACGTTCACAAATTGGTCACGTGAACTGGGGCGCTGGGCTCACATGAGATGGCTAGTGCT